TGCCAAATTACAGCCAATTTGGCCTTAAAATGTGTCTAATAATAGGCAAAAAATACCTTAAATCGGGAGATACGGTTATATGGGGGCTATATCAAAACTTGGACCCAGGGTCCCCATGTTGGATTTCTATATTTGCTTTGACATTAGAAACATGTGTGCAATGTTTTGGCCGCCTATGTCAAGTGGTTCGGCAGTTAATGAGTTTATACCCAATTTTTGGGTAAAAACTCGGGTATTTACCCAAGTATTTACCCACGTCTTTAAACTATCGTAAAACTATCCATTCTAAATCGATTTGATAACAGAAATCCGGAAATAGGGTGTAATATGTTGTATTACCAAGTCAATATAGTAAATACCCAAATAAATACCCGCAAATGGGTGTTTACCCGGTATTTACCCACCCCTTGGGTATTTACCCGGTAAATACCCGGTAAATACCCGGTAAATACCATCTCTACATATTTAGTACAGAGATTTGCTACCCAATGAGATCTCAAATTACTAAATTACAGTCAATTCGGTCGAAAATTGCGATCAAACCCCCCAAAATACCGCAAAATTGGGGGTACCCTTATATGGGGTCTATCCGGAAATATAGACCCATATTTATAATTTTTAGTGGAAAGATTTGCTACCCAATAAGAACTCAATGTACCAAATTTCAGCGAATTCAATTGAAAAACGCGCTCAAGAACCTGAAAATACCGCAAAATCGGGGTATCCTTATATGAGGGCTATCCGAAAACATGGACCCATATTTATTATTTTTAGTGGAAAGATTTGCTACCCAATAAAAACTCAATGTACCAAATTTCAGCGAATTCAATTAAAAACCCCGCTCAAGATCCTCAAAATACCGAAAATTGGGGGGATACCCTTATATGGGAGCTATGCCTAAACGTGGATCGATAAAACTCATCTTTGAACTTGACCTGAGGCAAAAATAAAATGTGGACTGAGATAAATCTGAGTTTTTAAATATGAATTCAGCTTCACCTTTGTTAAGGAAAAAAGTAGATTCAGCTAAATATTACTGTCGATAGAATTAAAGCAATATTCTTTTACATAAAACAATGTAAATTCCCTCTTGAATCCTTAATTCAACAGCGTTTTTTTCGTAGAAAATAAGAATTGAATAGTATTTCTCCCTTGGAAAAATCAATTCAACAAAGATTCTGTTTAAAAAATATGAATTCAGCAAACTTTTTCTATGGAAAACGTCAATTCAGCTAACTTTTTCTATATGGCAAAAGGACTTTGCATTAGAACGCGCAAATTCAGCAACAATTTTCATAGAAAATATTAATTCTGCAACATTTTCCCCATAAAAATGGTAATTCAGCAAACATTTTCTACAAAAAAAAAAAATCAATTCAGCACAATTTTCACGCCCGAGAAGCTAATCCAACAGAATCTTCTTATATAAAAACTATATTCAGCAAAGTTTTTCTTAAGACAAATTCAATTCAGCTAAGTTTTTCTTAAGAAAAATTCAAAAAGTTTTCTGACGAAAAAGTGAATTCAGCGAACTTTTTCAAACCAAAACGTCAATTCAGCTAACATTTTGTATAGAAATTTTCAATTCAGCTCATATTTTTTATAGAAATTCTCAATTCAACTAACTTTTTTAAGAAAAAAATAAATTGCTGCAGACAAAAGGCGACTCTATGCTAAATTTTGGCGATGTATCTCCATTCGTTTAGACTTTAGAGTGATTACAACAGACAGACGGACATAGTTATATCGCCATAGAATTTTACGCTGATCAAGAATTTATATACTTTATAGGGTCGGAAATGATTATTTCGATGAGTTACAAACGGAAAATCAAAATTGATATACCCTTTATAGAGCCCTCAAAAATATCCACGCCTTGTATAGAGCCCTGAAATAATTATATAAAAAACTAGCATATACCCGGTACTTCGTTAGCGGATGTGGGATGTGTTTAAAACCACTCTATATCGACCATTATTAAAATTTTAGAACCATTTAGTACCATAGTATGTTATCAAATATACCTCTGTATCTCAACCCTACACGCCCATTCCGGCCGCAACAGAAATCTACCTCTATACTAAATTTGGTGTAATTTTTTACCATTTGTACTCTTGTTATACTTATTTAAAAAAAAAATCACCCAAATCCAAATTGAGTATCGGTTAGTGCACATTAATATAAATTTCCATAACTTCCTACTTTAGCAATCAAAAGTACGAATTTCCAACACTTCCCACATACCCCAATCTTAATTCCAAATTTCAGGATTCTATCGGTTCACTTAAATCCAATTTGTATCACATTTAGTACCATTTAGAACCCATAAGTAAAAATTTCCACTACCACCTACATCAAGCAATCAAATTGAAATCATGAATTAGATAAAATCTTAATTATAATCCAAATAGCATCAAATTTACTACACAGTAGTACGAATTTCTAAAACTTCCTACTTAACCCAAACATACACTTCCACAGTGATCCTAAATCCAAGTTTCAGGATTCCAACTCTATTGGTTCACCCACAATTCAAATTGTAGCAAATTTAGTACATAGTTGTACCAATGTCCAAAACTTCCTACACCCCCACAGTCATCCTAAATCCAAGTTTCAGGATTCCAACTTTATCGGTTGACCCACAATTCAAATTGTACCAAAGTTAGTACACAGTAGTACCACTTTCCAAAACTTTCTACATTGTACCAAATTTAGTACACAGTAGTACGATTTTGCAAAACCTCCTTCTTAGCCCAAACCAACACCCCCACAGTGATTCTAAATCTAAGTTTCAGGATTCCAACTCCTTCGGTTCACTAACAATTCAAATTGTACCAAATTTAGTACACAGTAGTACGAATTTCCAAAACTTCCTACTTAACCCAAACCTTCACCCCAGAGTGATACTAAATCCAAGTTTCAGGATTCCAACTCTATCGGTTCACCCACAATTTAAATTGCACCAAATTTAGTACACAGTAGTACGAATTTCTAAAACATTCTACACACCCCAATCATACCCCCACACTGTTTCTAAAACAAAGTTTCAGGATTCCAACTCTATCGGTTCACCCACAATTCAAATTTTACTAAATTTAGTACATAGTTGTACTAATTTCCAAAATTTTCTACATACCCTAATTCTACACCTCCACAGTGATCCTGAATCAAAATTTCAGGATTCAAACTTTATCGCTTCACCCACAATTTAAATTGTACCAAATTTAGTACACATTAGTACAAATTTCTAAAACTTCCTACATATTTCAATCTTACACCTCAACAGTGATCCTGACTCCAAATTTCATGATTTTAGATCTATTGGTTCACCTAAAATTCAAATTGTACCAAATTTAGTACACATTAGTACAAATTTCTAAAACTTCCTACATATTTCAATCTTACACCTCAACAGTGATCCTGACTCCAATTTTCAGGATTTTAGCTCTATTGGTTCACCTAAAATTCAAATTGTACCAAATTTAGTACCATTTAGTACCCATAAGTATTATATTCTTAAACTGAATCCTGACCCTAATCCTACATCCCTACAATGATCCTAACTCCAAACTTCATTGTTCCAGCTCAATCGATTCACCCAAATCCAAATTGTACCAATTATAGTACGATTTAGTACTTTTCGTACACGAAAGTAAAAAATATACATATCCCTATACTAAACTCCGATAGTAATGTTAATTTCAATTTTCAGAATTCTAGCTCGATTTGTACCTCCAAATCAAATTTGTACCAAATATAGTACCATATAGTACTTTTCGTACACATGAGTACACGCATTCCACACTCTCCTCATATCGACCCTACTTCTCAACGTTATTTTACATTCCAAATTTCAAGTTTTTAGCTCAATCCATTCACATGCTACGAAATTGTACCAAATTTAGTACATTTTCGTACTTTTCAGATAGTTATAGTTCGAATTTCCAAAAACCCTTTAGTACATCTATCCTACAGTCAATCAACGACCACCAACCCAAATTTCAGAGTTCTAGCTCCACCGGTTCGCCAAATACAAATGGTATCACATTTAGTACTTTTTTGTACTTTTCGTTCCGTTCAAGTACGAATTTCCAAAAACCCAGCCTTATCTGTCACCTTTGGACCAAGAGTGACCCTCACCCAAAATTTCAAGATTCTAGCTTCAGCCGTTTCGTCTGGGCGTTGATGAATCATTAAATCAGTCAGTCAATCACTTTACTCTTTTATTAGTATAGATTCACGCCCTATTAACATTCTAGAAAATAATTATTTAAAAAAATCTGCGCCTTATATATGGCTTTCAAAAATTATTTAAAAAATTTACGCTTCATAATTTTGAATCTACATGGCAATTTACATAAAATATGTTTTTTTTAATATTGCAATTTTAGACAATTATTTATTGTTTAAAATTCATTGAAGCTTTAAAATTAATTACAAATAATTCAAAAAATTTATATAAATTTTTGCGCACATGTTTGTTTGCATTTAATTTCCTCTGACGACCAGCCTTTGAGCCATCCGAACGACCACAAATTGTTAAAGACCTACTCCCAACTAACAACACAGGAGTAGTGGAAAATTCCAAACTGTTGATAAATTATTATGGTATTAAATATCCAAATTTAAATAATTTAATTTGATAAACTGGTTGCTGTGAAGGCAGCTGGGCACATTATGCAGATTACCGGTTAGAGATGGCTTAGTCGGAGATAGCCTTCAACTGAGTCCACAATTGAAGGATATTAGTAGAATAATGTGTGGTTTACATCAGAGGCGAGGAGGGGAATACATATTATTAATAATCTGATTTAATCTGCCTTATTGTATAAGAGAAAGAACAACAACAACAACTCAATTAATTCCATCCACATAGAACAACAACATCAACAAAAACCACACCCAATTCCCGAACATTTATCAATTAATATTTAATTTGATTGCCATTTTCTTCCATCTTCTCATTTTCCACATTTTTTTCTTTCTCTTCTCTTTTGCAGAGGGTATTCTCTCGTACAGCATTCCCAAGGGTATACCTCGTGGCATTGAAATCGATTTATCCGATAAATCATACGATGGCCACGAAGAAGATGAACGTTATGTCGATGGCCTGGGTCAATTGGTTGATGGTCAAAAGGGCAAAGATAATTTTCGTTTGGATCAAGGATTTGGCAAAGGTGAGTACACACGATATTTAATTAAAAAATAAATTTAAATAAAAAATAAATTAAAAACCAGTAAGGAAAGTAGTAAAGTCGGACGGGGCCGACTATATGATACCCTTCACCACTATGGGTATATTAAACAGGACTATTAACATGAAATATATATGGGAGCTATATAGACCGATTTTCTCGAAACTTGGCAGACATCACTCTAGGCTCAGTTCAGTACGTTATGCCAAATTTCGTGCAAATCGAAGGATATATAGGGACTTTGGTGCACCATTTATATGAAATCGGACGAAACTATATACGATTTTCACGAAACTTAGCAAATTTCCAAATTTCGTGCAAATCGAAAGATATATAAGTACTTTGTGGCACCATTTACATGAAATCGGACGAAACTATATATGGAAGCTATATCTAAATCTAGACCGATTTTCTCGAAACTTGGCAGACATCACTCTAGGCTTAATTCAGTACGATATACCAAATTTCGTGCAAATCGAAAGATATATAGGGACTTTGGGGCACCATTTACATGAAATCGGACGAAACTATATATGGGAGCTATATCTAAATCTGAACCGATTTTCTCAAAACTTGGCAGACATCACTCTAGGCTTAATTCAGTACGATATGCCAAATTTCGTGCCAATCGAAAGACATATAGGGACTTTGGGGAACCATTTACATGAAATCGTACGAAACTATATATGGGAGGTATATCTAAATCTGAACCGATTTTTTTAAAACTTGGCAGACATCACTCTAGACTTAATTCATTACGTTATGCCAAATTTTGTGCAAATCGAAAGATATATAAGGACTTTGGTTCACCATTTACATGAAATCGGACGAAACTATATATGGGAGCTATATCTAAATCTGAACCGATTTTCACGAAACTTGGCAGACATCATTCTAGACCTAAATGATTAGGCTGTACCAAATTTCGTGCTAATCGAAATATATATAGGGACTTCGGGGCATCATTTACATGAAATCGGACGAAACTATGTATGGGAGCTATATCCAAATCTGGACCGATTTTCACGAAACTTGGCAGACATCATTCTAGACCTAAATGATTACGCTGTACCAAATTTCGTGCAAATCGAAAGATATATAGGGACCGTTTACATTAAATCGGTTAAATATATATATGGGAGCTATATCTAAATCTGAACCGATTTTTCCCAATTTCAATAGGGTTCGTCCTTGGGCTGAATAAGTGACCTGTGCCAAATTGCATCCAATTCGGATCATAAATGCGACCTGTACTTTGTTTACAATTTAACATGCACAGACAGACAGACGGACGGACATGCATAGATCGACTTAAAAAGTGATTCTATGCATATTCTCAAAAGGAACCATGTGTCTATCTCGTTTCCTTTTGCCTGTTACAAACATATGCACAAAGACCTAATACCTTGTACCACGGTGTGGTGAAGGGTATACAAATGCGGTTATATGGGAACTACCCCAAAAAGGGAACGAATGTTAATAATTTTTGGTAGAGATATTTGTTACCATGTGGGACTACAAAATACCAAATTGCAGCAAATTCGGTTGAAAAACGCGCTCAAGAACCCCAAAATGCCGAAATGGACCTATATACATAATTTTTTGTAGAGATATTTGGTACCTATTAGAAACTCTAAATACTAAATTAAAGCCATTTCGGTGGAAAAATACGATCAAAACCCCCAAAATACTTAAAATTAGGAGGTACCTTTATATGGGGGCTACCAGAACAAGTGGACCTATATTTATAATTTTTTGTAGGGACATTTCGTACCCAATAAGAACCCAATGTACCAAATTTCAGCGAATTCGGTTGAAAAACGCTCTCAAGAACCGAAAAGTGGGGGGTGCCCTTATATGGGAGCTATGCCAAAACGTGGACAGATATATTTCCAATCTTCGACCTTGACCTGCCTTCAGACAAAGACAACTCAAATTTCAGCACCCTATCTTAATTCCTTCAGAAGATAGCGTGATTACAACAGACGGACAGACGGACGGACGGACATGGCTAGATCGTCTTAGAATTTTACCCTGATCAAGAATATATCAGGGTCGGAAATGAATATTTCGATAAGTTACAAACGGAATGACAAAATTAATATACCCTCCATACTATGGTGGAGGTTGTCGCTTTGGCGGTTGTACTCAAGAAGTACAAAGCCGATATTATTGCCTTACAGGAAATACGATGGAAAGGGACTGGTGCAAGTAAATTAGATGATGTATTATAGCTGCCATGAAACGAGACATGAATTTGACTGTGGATTTATGATTAACAGGAGAATAAAAGACCACGTCTCCAGATTCACTCCAGTAGATGAGCGAATTGCTATAATCCGTATAAAAGCGAAATTCTTCTACATCAGTCTCTTTTGCGACCGAAGATAAAGATGAACAGACCAAAGACATGTTTTACGAGCGCCTAGAAAGTCCACCAATTTATGGTTAACAGGAGAATAAAATACCTCGTCTCCAGATTCACTCCAGTAGATGAGCGAATTGCTATAGTCCGCATAGTAACGAAGTTCTTCTACATCAGTCTTATTAGCGCCCATGCTCCGACCGAAGATAAAGGTGAACAGACCAAAGACATATTTTATGAGCGGCTAGAAGCAGCATATGACAGCTGCCCTGGCCATGACATTAAAATTCTGGTAGATTTTAATGCAAAAATCGGAAGGGAAAATATCTTTGGCACCACCGCCGGAAAATTCAGCCTTCATGAAGAAACATCATACAAAGGCATGAGGTTGATTGACTACGCGCCAGCAAAAAAAACAAAAAATGGTAGTTAACAGCACCAGATTCAAGCATCTCAATATACACTTGGATTCCTCCCGATCGAACAACGAGAAATCAAATGGATCATGTTGTGATAAACGGAAGGCATTTATCCAATGTTTCAGACGTCTGAACGATCCGGCGAGCGAATATCGATTCGGACCATTACCTTGTGGCGGCCGAGGCCTACTTCGCTCAACATACCCAACTGCTTGACGAAAGCACCCCTTGTCCTGATAATAATATAAAAGCACAATGACAGAGAATTGCCCACTCCCTACAAACTGCAGCAAAAGCGGCACTTGGGTACCAACGACCACCATCAAGACATCCGTGGTACGATCAATAGTGTCGTAATGTTGCTGATATGAAAAACTCAGCGTATAGGGCAACCCTGCGGACAGTAGCAACACGTAATGCGATGGAGAACTATCGAGAGAAAAGGCGAGAGGAAAATCGTATTTTCAGAAAAAAGAAGAAAGAGCAATAAAAACGTGAGCGTGAGCAAATCGAGATGTACAGGAGTCAGAATGAAGTCCGAAAATTCTACCAACGCGTTGGTAAAAGGCTTGGAATGAAGTCCGATAATTCTACCAACGGGTATAACACCAAACCGAAGGGCTTTGGTGCAGGCACATCCTCCTGTAGAGATAAAGAAGGAAACCTGGTGACAGATACAGACAGCGTGCTGAGGATCTGAAAGGAGTATTTTGAACAAATTCTGGTATCAAATAGTAGCAGTGAAGTGGATACCCCAGAACCAATAATAGATGACCGTATAGTGTGTATAGCACCTAGCCAAGATGAGGTCAATGAGGTCAAAGCAATTAATCGGCTCAAGAACCATAAAGCAGCAGGTGCCAATGGGTTACAAGCCGAACTATTCAAGACTGGTGGTCAGATGCTGATAAGGAGCATGCACCAGCTGATTAGTACAATTTGGCTAGAGGAATGAATGCCCAATGATTGGAACCTCAGCATCCTTTGACCCGTGCACAAACAAAGAGACAATACGATATGTGCCAACTATAGAGGCATAAGTCTCCATCCCATCACATATAAAAATGCATGCCCAATGATTGGAACCTCAGCATCAGCAACGTACACAGGATTTCATTTCGGGTGACCCGGTAGTACAAAATGAAAAAATTCGCTGTTGCAAACACAAATTTACTGTGAGAAAAATTCATTTCCGCCCCCCCCCCCTGTGTCGACCCTGCTCAGCATCTATGTCCCGTGCACAAAAAAGGAGACAAGACGATATGTACCAACTATAGAGGAATAAGTCTCCTTCCCATCGCATATAAAGTGCTATCCAGCGTACTGTGTGAACGATTGAAGCCAATGGTCAATGACATCATTGGACCATACCAATGCGGCTTCAGACCTGGCAAATCCACCATTGACCAGATTTTCACTCTGTGCCAAATCCTCGAAAAGACCCACGAAGAACACTTCGACACATTCCACCTATTCGTCGACTATAAAGCCGCATTCAACAGCCCTATCCGTTCAGGGGTGTATAAAGCCATGTCTGCGTTTGGCAAATTAATTCGGCTATGCAGCATAACTTTAACAGGCACAAAATCAGCAGTTATAGTCGGAAAGGAACTCTCGGAGCCCTTTAATACCGAACGAGGTTTCAGACAAAGTGATAGTTTGTAGTGTGACCTTTTTAACATCCTGCTGGAAAAGGTCATACGAGAGGCAAAAGTGGAACTGAAATTGCACTCTGTGGCACAAGATCAGCAGTTACAGTCGGAAAGGACCTATCGGAGCCCTTTAATACCGAACGAGGATTCAGACAAGGTAATAGTTTGTCGTGTGATCTTTTGAACATCCTGCTGGAAAAGGTCATACGAGAGGCAAAAGTGAAGAGAAATTGCACTCTGTACACCAAACAACACATGTTACTCGCCTACGCCGATGACATCGACATAATGGGTCGAACATTGAGAGCCGCAACAGCATCCTTTGAACAAATTGAAAAGGAGTCTGCAAAAGTGGGTCTGACAGTAAACGGCGAGAAGACCAAGCTGATGGTATCAACGTGTAAGACGTCCAGTAGACTCGGACCAACTGTGGAACTTGAGAATTACAGCTTCGAGGTATTTAAAGGTTTTATATACCTTGGTACCGCCATAAATAAAACGAATAACATCACTTTCGAAATTCGGAGAAGGATTGTGATGGCCAAC